AGAGACAGAGAGAGAGAGGGAGAGAGAGAGAGAGAACGAGAGAGAGAGAGAACAGAAGGAGAGAACGACAGAGAGAAAGAGAGAGAGAGGAACAAGAGAGAGAGAGAGAGAGAAAACAAGAGAGAAAGAGAGAGAGAGAGAGAGAGAACAAGAGAGAGAGAGAGATCACAAGGAGACGGCGATATACACGATATATCGCTGACGACAGACAAACACATGATACCAAAACAACCCAACGACAGAACTTGAACATATGGAATGTGGTGTGCGGGAACTCGTGCCGAGAGAGGGGGCGGACAGAGAGTGCGGAGAGAGGCAGTTTCAGGGGAGGCGGGGGCGGATGATCCCCCCACTCGCGTCCACGTTCTCTCCAACCCCGAACCCAGGCCCTGGGGCCGCGCAGCCGCCCGCGGGCCCCCCAAAACGAGCGGCTTCGCAGAGACCGCGCTAATTGTGGAGAACGCGACCGCAGGGAGAAAGGCGCCCACCAACACCGCCCCGGGGGGATGCGGCAGGCGCCGCTCAGGTGCGCAGGGATGCCCCCCGCGCGAGCGCCCTACGAGCTGCACGCGGCCCCACGGAAAGGTGGCCCCAGGCAGGAGTGACCTTTGGCGCGCGGCTTGACATGGTCAAGAGCGGCCAGGAGGGGGGTGTCCAAGAGGGGGGGGGTGCAAATCATGACCGGCGGCATGTGCGCGGCCCAGCGGGGGGGGCAGGGACGTAGTGAAATAAGAAGAGGCGCCATGAAATCTGGGGAAATATCATGACCCCCGCCATGATATCCCCCCCCCTAGTCATCAACCCTCTTCTCTTCCGCCCCCGACATGGCTGTGGGGGGGCCAGACCCAGGCGCGCACGCCGCTGCGCATCCGACCCCGCGGTCGGGGGACCGCAGTGGGCCCGCACCACAGGCCACCGCTTCGCGAGGTCATTCTCGTGTGCAGTCGATGCTCGCGCACTCCGCAGTGGCCCCCCGCAGGCGGTGGTGATGGTGATCCCCCTCCCTTTTGCAAGATCGGCCCAGCCTCCCGGGCCTGCGCGGGGCAACGACAGGGGGGGACTGGCACAGGGGGGGGGCACATCCACCTGGAATCGGCGATACATCGCCGATAGACCCGCGATAGGCCACCGATCTTGGATCCGCACGTTCCTGGGCAGGTTTGGGCTATCAGCCCCTTTCGGCGATCAACGGGCGAGTAGGGGTCGATGCGTCCCTCGGAGAAGGGCGAACAGAGACAGTGGAAATCCAAGATCGGCTCAAAATCAGTCCCCAGATCCCTCTCAGGGTCCAAACGCACTAGTTATCCGAGCTGCGTCCAGCCGTAGCGTCCACGGCCCCCCCAAAGGCCGACTACGGCCGGACCTAGGACAGGATAGCGTCCTTCAAGAACATGAGACCCTCCGCTGGCCAGACTGAAGAACATTCGAGGATACCCCCCAGGATGCACGAGATCATCCAACAATCACGAAGAACACTAAGGTACCCTCCCCGAACCGACCTCCATCTCATACCTCGGTCCGGCCGTACTAACGTCTCCAACGGCCCTCCGCTGCATTCCCCCTGCTGTGCTTGTCTCCCCCTATCGTTGCCCCTGAGCCTGAGCTGCCTCGGACCTCCCGCGCCCCTCCGGTGCCCCGCGCTTCGCTCCCTCGAGCCTCTCGGCCGATTCGGCGAGCAGCGGGCCAGGAGCGGCAGCGGGCCCAAAGGCGGACAAGCCGAGAGGTGGCGGCGCAGGGAGGCTCCCCACCACCGCCGGCTCCTCGCTGGAGCCGCCCGTCGTCCTCCCCAGGCACAGACGCCGCTGGGCACGGACAGCCCCCCCAGGCAGTCCCGGCTGGCCTCCACAGGCCTCCAGGGCGGATTGGGCTGCCGAGGCCGCCCTGGACGACTCGGGGGGCCTGTTGAGGCCAGCAGGGGCTATCTGGGAGGCTGTATGTGCCCAGCCCGAGCACGTACCATCATCCAACTTGTTGCGTCGCGCGGACATTGGCGGGATGGCCGCGGCGTCTGTAGACGCGTTCGCAATCAGACGAACAAAAAGGAAAACATATCGGAACGCAACACGCGATCGACCTGGTGCTTATGTACCAACACCCCATCCATCTCCTCCTCCTCCTCCTCCTCCTCCTCCTCATCATCATCATCATCATCATCATCATCATCATCATCATACTCACCACCACCATCACCATGACCATCATCATTATCATATCACCATCACCATCACCATCATTACATCATCATCACCACGACCACAGTGACGACAAAGACCACGACCATCATCATCCTCACCACCACCATCATGATCCTCATGATCATCAAACATCATCATCCCTCCTCATCGTCAACATCCTCATCATGATCGTCGCCATCGCCATCACCATCACAATCATATTCCGCGTTATCACTATCATCATCTCCGTCATCGTCATCGTCATCGTCAACGTCACCATCGTCTTCATCACCATCAGCATCATTATCATCGTCATCATAGTCATCATCATCCTCATCAACACCACAAAAATCAGCATCATCATCAGCATCATCATCATGATCACCATCCTGATTGCCATCCTCATCCCCATCATCATCAGCAACATCATCACCAACATCATCGCCAGCATCATCCTCATCATCGTCTTCATCATAATCGTCAGCATCAGAAGCATAAACATCACAATCATCAACATCATCACCATCAGCATCACAATCATCACCATCACCACCACCACCATCATCATCCTCATCCTCATCCTCATCACAATCACCACCAACTTCACCATCATCACCAAGATTATCGTCACTCTCGTCCTCATCATCATAATCATCACCATCACCATCACCATCACTACCACCATCACCACCACCAACATCATCATCATCATCAACACCGTCATCATCACCACCACCATCATCATCCTCGTCATCATCACCGATCATCATCCCTCCTCATAGTCATCATCCTCATCATCGTCGCCATCAACATCGCCATCGCCATCAACATCATATTCAGCGTCAGGGCCATCATCCTATCCGTCATCGTCATCGTCAACGTCACCATCACCATCGTCACCATTAACAGCATCGTCATCATCGTTGCCATAGTCATCACTATCCTCTCCATCACCACCACCACCATCATCAGCATGATCATCATGATCATCATCCAGATCCTCATCCTCATCCTGATCATCAACATCACCACCAATATCATCATCCCGCTCATCATCATCATCAGAATCGTCATGATCATCATTCTCGTTCTCGTCAGCACAATGATCACAATCATCATAACCACCAGCACCATCGCAATCAGCATCACTACCATCATCATCACCATCCCTACCACCACCACCATCATCATCATCATTATCCTCATCCGCATCCCCATCCTCATCCTCATCCCCATCCCCATCCCCATCACCACCACCATCATCATCATCATCATCAAGAATCCGCATCCTCGTCATCATCATCACCACCCGCACCATCAACGTCACCATCATCGCCACCATCACCATCACCATCACTATCACCACCACCCTCACCATCGCCATCGCCATCATCATCGCAATCACTATCACCATCACCACTCGCATCACCATCATCACCTTCATTCCATCATCGCCACCACCGTCATCACCCTCATCATCATCACCCATCACCATCCCTCCTCATCGTCACCATCCTCATCATCGCCTTCGCCGTCGCCATCGCCATCAACATCAACTTCAATGTCATCACCATCATCATGTCCGTCATCGCCAGCGCCAACGTCAGCAACACCATCGCCACCATCATCAACATCACCCTCATCGTTGTCATAATCATCACCCTCATCCTCATCACCACCACCATCAGCATAATCATCCGCATCATCATCATCATCATCATGGCCACCATCCTGATCCTGATCCTCATCCTAATCATCACCAACAGTATCACCAACATGGTCATCATACTCATCACCAACATCACACTCATCATCGTCATCATCGTCATCATAACCATCCACGTCGTACCCATAACCACACGAACCATCAACATCGCCATCATCATCACCACCACCACCGTCACCACCACCATCATCATCACATCATCATCCTCATCCTCAGTCCTCATCATCACCACCATCACCATCATCCTCATCGCCATCACAAAGAAATATCCCCCTCCTCCTCGCCATCGTCATCATCACCGCCGCCATCACCATCGCAATCAGTACCTATGGGCTCGAACTCGCTGGGGGGCGAGAGCGCGCAGCCCTACCGATCTGCCCTGAGAGCCCGTACAACGCACTCGTTGCGGCGTCGACAGTGAGCCGCTGCAGAAGGTTGGTTGCCCCTCGGATTTCGCTTCTCTCGCTGCCGTCCGACGCGGCAGTGGCGGGGGAGATTGTTCAGAATATCAGCGGGCCCGCAGCTCGCAAATCGAAGGTGCTGACATTGATTCAGGACGCTGGGGGTGATCGCGCGCCGCTGCAGCGCGCAGCGAGCTCGTCCACGGGGCCCAGGCGGGGCCCGACCAATTGCTGGCCAACGCCCCCGAGGAAAAGCAGTTGCGAGCAGTGCAGAAGCTCGTGGCGAAACACGAGATCTCGTGGGCCCACGAGCACCATCGGCGTGCATCGAGCGCCAATGCAGTGACCGGCGGGAACGCAGACGACACAAAGGGTCGCGGCAAGGGCCGCATGTCCGAGCCCCAGCCGATCGCCCTCGACGAGAACGACTGATCGATCCCGATCGCCCAAGCATCCGAGAAGCTGCCCAACGGCGGGTACGAATCCTCCACTTCGCTGCACTCCAATGCCGAGAAAAGATGTGCAGCCCTGCGCCGTCAGAAGGAGCCGCTCCCGACCCTCGTCATCGGCGCAGGCAGCGACAACAGGGCACATGCCGAGATCAAAGTTCCAATCTTTAAAGTCCCTCGTAGCGCCAAGATGCCACGGAAGACATTCATGGAGGGGGTCATCCGGTGATTCGGCGACACCGAGGTGGGGATGCAGACCCATCTCGCGCAGTTGGACGCCGCGGATGCCAGCGCCACCTTCATGCGCATCACTATCCGCGAGGCTGACGCCTTTCTCGTCAACCCTACTATGAAATCTGTCTTCAGTTCCCAGTTCAGCGGTGTCGCGCCCATCGTGATTGGTGGCCAACGCAAAGACAAGCTCGGCAGTGCGGCCAGCGAGCGCTGGAAGCAGGCTGGCCGATCTGAAGCCAACCCTTCTCTCGACGCTGGGCTTCGCGAGGTCATCGAGTCCACCGCGAGCGCTATCTGCCCTGAGATCGAGCTCCACGACGAGCCCAGTCGCTTACTTCGCGCAGGCGGTCAAGCAGGTCAGCGGCCACTGGGCGCCATCCTCGCCATCGAGAAGGCCCGGGATATCCAGCCGCTGAATTACTCGGGGAACCAGGACACCACGTTCCCTTCTCCTACATCGGCGCCGACTCCGGGAAGCAGGAACGCAACAAGCAGGTGGTGCACACCGTCTGGTTCAACAAACGGTCAGCATGCAGAACGCCTACTCTATTGCCAAGTCCCCAGAGGCTGCTCTGGGCGTCGCCAGGGGCGACCGTGGGCAGTCTGGTCTACGTGTACTTCGTGACCACCCTCAAGCCACTGAAGCAACCGCTGCAGTCCGAGGATCTAGCGTCGCGCTGGCACGGCGCCAGGGGCGCACCGACGTCCCCAACGGCCGAGCCACCAAGGGTCAGGTCGCGGGCGCAGCGCAGACGGTGGGCTGGACAGCGGACATCGTCTACGTCGGCTTCGACACCCACGAGAAGGCCAACTTCGCCATCGCTCGCTCCGACACCGAGCCCTCCACCAAGTGCTGGACGTTCGGCTCCTCCACGCCGTGGGTCGTCGCGTAAGTTGGGCCAGGCAGCGCGGCGGCCGCCGAAGGCGACTCCGCGGCGGGCCCCGCTATCGTTACTGCGGCGTCGCTCAAGACAGCGGAACCACTGCCGCCACCTACTGAAACTGCACCAACATCGGCTACGACAAGTACTCCGCCGTGGCTACCAGCACTTCAAAGGAAGCCGCCAGCGACGCCGGTTACCTCAAGCGCCGGCGGCAACCAGATGGAGGTCGAACCGAAGGCCGCACCACCTGTTCTCGCACCAGTTCGACTACCTGATGCAGAGCGCCAGCGCATTCAAGCGCTCGAAGCCAGTGCGCGTGCACAGGCAGTCGCTCTGGAGAGCATGATGGGCACCATTGCCAAGCAGGAGGCCTCTCTCTACCCCTGCCCTCGCCGCTGAGCTCGACGACGTCGCTCAGAAGACCAACGCGGCCATCGGCGAGCTGAAACAAGGGAACGCGAGCCTCAGTGCCACTATCAACGCGAACCAGCTCGCTATCCAAGGGAGCCTGGCCACCATCCCCAACAAAAATGAACCTGCAGCAGGAGCGCGCCGACGCCCCCGACAAGAAGACCCCGCGCGCCCAGGTCAAGGACAACGACCGCTGGGGTGCCCAAAAAAACGAGTCCCACCTTCCGATGAGAAGTCCGTGACTTGGGACATCAAGACAAACCGTGTGTACTACTTGGTAATGGATGGCTTGCTCAAATTTTGGGGCACTGCAGCGTGTGGGATGGCTGTGAGTTCCGTGCCACAGCATGGGCTTCGCAGGTGACCAGTCTGGGTGGCTGCTTCAACTGCGACGAACCTGCTCCATTCCCTGAGGGGCCAACGCCTCCTTTGCCCCCTAAGTGCGATCGCAGCATCCAGCGACTGTCGCAAACCGAGCGCGGCAATATTCTGATTCAGCTCTGGGAGACGGTCCAGATCACCACAACCTGGTTTCCATCAGCGTGACGGCCTTGCAACCGCATAGGGGGCTCCTCACGGCACTCGGCGACCGCGGAGTGGCTGTTGCGGCCCTGAAGGAAGCTCGTCGCATTCAACGCCAGCTAGCAGGTATGGATAAGCACCTGCACCATTATGCATGGAAAGCTCACTGGGGACAACCACTGGAACCAGGTGAACGAGGTGTACCATCACAGCACGGCAAGCACCCGTACGTGGCCAGAGGAGAACAGGCAGGGCACGGTGGAATTGTCATTGCGTCGCCAATGCCTGTCACTGTCGTTCCGACAGACCGCGCCCGCCCACTGCGCGATCGCCTACTCGCCAGTCAGAGGCGAAAGAGATCTTCATCCCCATCCCCAACGACAACGGTCCTCACATCACGGGCTACTGCCCGGCAGCGGTGCACGGCGTCGCTGGCGAGTCACACGAAAACCTACTCGCTGACGTATGGCAAGCGGCCGCACTTCGTGAAGGCATGAGAAAACGACTCCGGCCCCCAACGCGGGGAACTTTCCGCCAATGGGACCGTCGAGCGACGCGCGAATGCAAACGGAAACTGCTCGACGGCCAGCCAAAGGCAACTCCGCGCACTTCAACGCGAACGGCGTGCTGTTGCCATGCTCATTGGCGTTCGAACCTGGCGTTTCCTCGTGCTGGCGCGCAGTCAGTGCCAAACAAATCATTGTGGACATTCGCCCGCTCGTGCCAAGGCAAAAACCAATGGGCGCGTCGGCCCTTGGCGGCGCTGGCAAGAGCCCAGACGGCGCCCAGGGCCCGCCCCGCACGGGCGCGCATCGAAAAGCTTAGATCCACCCCAGAAACAAAGCTTAGGCAGCAGGCGAAACAAACAAGCATATAAGCACAACGTGCAATACTTGTAAACTTCTCCGAAGCAGAGCGTCTCGCGCGGGAGAGCCCCGAAATGTCTATATAAAAAGAACGCATTGTTTGTGTAAGCGCAGAAACACTTTTATATTTGAACAGCTACCTTAAGAGAAACGCCCCCGATCTATACTTTTCCGTCGGCGCGGTTGCGCGGGGGCGACGGCTCGGCTGGGCCAGCAGCGCTGCCGTGCGATGGGCAGCGCCGCCGTCGCCTCAAACAGCGCGCCGCGGCCGTGGCACGCGCGGCCCTGGGAATGCCGGCGCGGGCGCGGCCGCGTCGAGCAGGCCCAGGGCGTCGCCGCGCGCGCGGGGCACCCCTGCGGCAGCTGGCAATGGTCTTGTCGACAGAGCGCCTACACTTGCGCTCATTCGCAGTAAATGCAACGCGCTGACATGTAAATTCCATAGTTGCGGGGCTGGGGTCGGTCTCCCACTGCTCACTTCGAGGCGCGGCAATCCCCTACTTCGTCACCGTGGATGCGCAGTGTGACGTCACCGAGCCGGCCTACCTCAGCTGGGTGCTCCAGGATGGCGGGCGAATGACTGTCGTCAAACGGTGCAGCGACCACGGCGCCATGACCTACGGCCGCGACCCAACTGCAACCGTTGCGACCCCGCCGAGCACGCGTCCAGGATAGACTACGTCTTCGCCAACGAGAGCGCCAACCCCATGGTCATCAACTTCCAGATCGTGCGGGGCTTCGAATACCCTGGTCATCTCGGTCTAGAGGTCACCCTCGATGTCGACGCCTTCGCCGCCCGCGTCCGGCGGCGGGAACGGCCCGAGCTCTGCGGCGTCCACGACGTCGCCGTGCCCTGCCAAGAGCGGGCCGCGCTTGGTGAACTGCACGCCGGTCAACATATTTCACTTCTAGCAAGAACCCGCGGGAATGACGAACGCGCCCTCGAGATCGTCAACAACGTTGCCAAGGACTTCCCGGGCGCTTGCTGCGCCGACCACGTCGAGCCGGGCGCTCGCGGGCGCGGCGAGCCCCCGAGGTTTGTCCGAGGCTGGGCAGCGCCGCCAATTTCACCGCAGCAAGGCGCGACGTCGCGGATCGAGTGGCTGCGCGCGGAACTTCACCGGCGCCTGCTGGATCTGAGCTACAGGGCCGAGCATTGCGAGACCACTGGTGCCAGTGCTTACATTGACATTCAACTCTACCATCATCTTTGGGTAAACTGCTGCAAACAAGTCAGGCAACTTCAACCGGCGCGTGCTTCGCGGCCGGGCTGGCAGGCGCCATTGCGCTGGCCCGCGGCAGGGCAGGCGCGAGAAGCTGCTGCGCAGTACTCGCTGAACAACAACGGCACGCTGCCGAGGCGCAACGACAGCGACTCCAAAAATGGCGTGCTCGCATGTCGACATACCGCCAGCAGGGAGGCCGAGAGGTTCGTGCCTGTGTAACAGCGCAAACCCAATAAGCCATAACACCCCTGGGAACATGAAAAACCCGACGCGAGCGATGTCGCCCTCAACCCGCTTGACATCATAATGCTCATGCAGGCGGCCTGGGGGCCGATCCTCTATGGGTATCGTGGGACTTCGCAGATTCCGACGTGGGTTGACTTTCGAGCTGGGCATGCGGCAGGACTTCTCCCCGTGTGCCCATGCCCTGAGCCCCGCTCAAGTGATGCTGAGGTTTGCGTTTTTCTCCAAGCGCGCCCCCCTCGCGAGGCCGGGGGGCCGCGGCGGCTGGGCAGCGGCGGAGGCCGAGGCCCTGCCGACGTCCATCCAAGCTGTTTTTGCCGAAGCTCTTCGATCGATGAACACTTCGGGTCAAGTTCCCTCGGCTTTCAAGCGCCTCCAAATCCTGCTTTGAGGAGGGGGGAAGGGATTTTTCTGCAAGAGCAACGACGCTAGCTGTCGGTCCTTTCTGTTTGGCATTGCTCTTGGGAAGTTTCGATATATCGAAAACTGGAAGTGTGGCGGCGCGAGCGGTGCCGCCCCACCACCTCTGGGGCTGCCTCGGAGGCTGGATTGTCCGATGCATCGGCGAGTCTCGCTCGGCCGGTTGAGTGGTCCAGACGCGTTGAGCCGTAGGTCCACGGCCCGGAGCTTGGCCGCAAGGAGAGCTTCGGCCTGTTGGTGACGGACATCTGCATGCAACTCCAGAAGAATGCAGGTTGCCCAGAAAGTACTCTTCGAGTACGACCAGCTTTTTTAAACAGTCGTCGTCGATCTATAAAAATGTCCGGCACCTGCCATGAAGCCATGAGCACCGTGAACTCCCGCCTCCAAGGCGCAGCGTTCAGCACCGGCGATTTAAAAAATGCCAGAATGTACGTGGGCAGCAAGGCAACATCGTGTGATTCCGAGGTCGCTCTCCATAACATTCACTGATGATCCCAATTCAACGGTGCGTGACATGCCAGGCATGCGTGAGTCTCTTCGCCAATCTCTGTTGTTTGACAAGCCTTCTGGTCAAGAGTTGCACTTGGGGTAAGCTAGTTACCTGGGCCACCGAAGATGGCATGGTCGACGAGCTGAGCAACGCGCAGGTCTGCGGCTACAACCTCCCTGTCAAGAGGGCCTTCCGACTTGTGGGCAGCCAGGTCGCCGCCTGCGGAAGGGGGGGGGCGCCAGCCTCCTCGACGAGCGTTTCGCGGCGGCCATGCGACTTCAACGAGCTCAGCGCCTACCAATGTCGATGCAGAAGCGCTCTGAGATTGCGCGGGCGACGGCTACTTCCACGGTGGCCGTGGGCTCCGACCTCGGGG